AAATAGGCTTGTTTCTGAAACAAGCATCCAAAGCTATGAGAAAAGACGTATCTGTGGCTGACGTCCCCCACTCTGTGGTACTTGTTCTGGCAGCACAATCTACCATTCCATTTTTAAAGTACTCTTTAAATCCTTAAAACAATCTTGCAAGGGAGTCATTGTTCTCACCTGTTCACAGACAAGGACGTGGAGGCTCAGAGAACTTGAGTTATTTACCCAAGGTTGCACAGTTGGAAAGTGATGCTAAACCTAGGTCCTTGACTTCAAATCCTGTGTGTTCTTTTTGAAGTCCTTCCTCGAAGGTGGAAGGGGTGTGAGAGAAGACAAAGAAAAATCATGGCAATGAGTGGAGAACAGAATACTGGTGGTATTAGAAGCCCAAGTCTGGAGACAGATCACAGAGGACAGGGAAACCCAGGTAAGGTGTTGGAGGTTGTGACTCAGTGTCTTTAAAGGCCTTTCTTTGCGGGCTATCCTAAGAATAATAATAACAAGAGCTAACATTTCTGAGCATTTGCCAGAAGACAGGCACAATGATAAATGCCTTGTATGTACTATTTTGTCTAAACCTCGAAACAAGCCTATATTTTAGGTGTTTTTAAAAAAGATTATTCATCCATCCATCCATCCATCCATCCACTCATTTATTTAGAGTGTGACTGGTTGCGGGGAGAAGGAGAGGGAAGGAGAATCTCAAGCAGATTCTGTGTTAAGCTTGTGAAGCCCAATGCCAGGCTGCCCAATGCCACGACGCCAAGATCACAACCTGAGCCAAAATCAAGAGTTGGAAGCTCTAACCACGGAGCCACCCAGGTTTCCCCATTTTGGGTATTTTTATTTTATGTCCATTTTATAGATGAAGAAACTGAGGCTCAGAGAAATCAAGCCAAGGGTCCAAGGTCACACATCCTGTGAAAGGAAGTGCTTGGATTTGAACCCAGGTCTATGTAACCCCAAAGATCTTGCCGTTCTTCATTTTCCAAATGCTGCAGCAATTCCACTGTGTCCTGCCTCTGTGGAGGAAGAGGGAAAGGAAGGCAGGGTTTCCATCACAGGCAGGGAGACGTCTGGGTCCAAGGCCAGGTGTGCTCCTCACCAGAGCTCTGGGAGACGGGCAGCAATCAAATGTCTCAGGCCCGGGCCCTCCCTGCAATCTCCTCCCACTTGCAGATCCTGGTGGGAGAATATGACCTCCACAGCCCTGAGTGAGCAGCCCTTCCACTAGGAAGACAAATTCCCAGAGCAGGAAATATCCCCTTGCCCATTCAGGCTCTCTCTGTGTCTCTGTTTCTCTCCGTCTTATCTCTCTCTGTATCTATCTCTGTATTTCTCTGTCATGCGGCATCTCTCTCCACATCCTCTCACACTTCACTTTCTGGCTGGGAATTGAAAAGCTTCTGGGTCTTTATAATCTGAACGGTTGTCCTAACAAAACCTCCTGGGGCACTCAGGCTCAGTTCTGGGCACCGCTGACGCAAGGGCGCCTCCTTGTGGTGAAAAGTCTCTCTGGTCCCTCAAGGTTGGGCTCCAGCCTCACCCCCAGAAAACCTCTGTGTGCCTGACAAGGTGGGTCTGAGAAAGCATTGGGCTTATGGGTTTCTTTTCTAGTTTCTGCAGGTTAGGACTTGCATAGAGAACTGGGAAAAGCAATAGATATGAGCTGGTCTTGCAATTCCAGGACCTGAGCATCAGACTAGGAACCCCAGGTGCCTTGCGGCTTGCCATCCTGGGAAGAGTCCTTCCTAACCCCATGCAGCCTAGCCCCATGGTTCCCAATCCTGGCTGAACTCTAGTATCAGCTGCAAACATCTAAAATGTGCCAATGGTCGGGACCCTCCTGGAATCCTGGCACTGGTATTTTTAGATGTTCCTTCCCCTGTGTCATGGTCTGACCTCTACCACACCATCATCTGAATCGCTTCCAGGGTTGAGGGATCTAGGAAAGATGAAGTTTCCAGATCCTACCTTAGACCTGCTGGGTCAGAATCTCAGAGAGCGACTAGAAGCCTGTCTTTTATTTATTATGTTTTCCCAAAGGTTTATTTATTTGAGAGAGGGAAAGAGAGAGAGAGAGAGCACCTTGGGAAGGGTGCAGAGGGAGAGAATCTCAAACAGCCACCCTGCTGAGCACGGAGCCCAGTGCTGGGCTTGATCCCACAATCCACGAGATCATGATCTGAGCTGAGACCAAGAGTCACCGAACTCACTGAGCTACTCAGGCACCCCAAGAAACCTGTTTTTCAAAATAAGGAGCTGAAGTGATTTTTAGAAGCAGTGCAGTTACAAAGCACCGAGGGAACCTACTTCATTATTATGGGAAGGTGGTGGGGTCCAGGGAGGTGACAAGCCAGCCCCAGGCCTTGCAGCTTGGGACAGCTGGAGCCCAAGTCACTGGAAACCACTTCAGAGGGGCCATGAGAGGCAGGGTGCCCAGGCTGTAGGTCCAGGCTGCTAAGCAGGAAGGAGGGATTCATTTTCTATCTGGCTGATAGGACTCCTTCCAGTCCTACATCCAGAGTCACATCCAGTCCTACATCCAGTTAGGTTCTCTCAGGACCCTGCTCATCTGTGAGCCTTATGGGCTCAGATCTGTCTGTCTGGTGCCCTCCCCAACCCTCTACAGGTTGCCCTGAATTCCAGCTTAGTTCCCTCCAGCCATGTTCCCTCATCTTGGGGTCTGGCCCTGACAGCCCCAATTCTCAGAGATTCTGAGGAGATGGGGCGTGGGCACTAGGCCTCCTCCAGAGTGGGGGAGGCTGAGCTGTGAATTTTTTTTTCTGAAAGACTCAGCAGTACTCTCCCCCAAAGTGCCCATGGTTCCTGGGGGAGCTCAGAGGTGATTCTCTGTCCCTCCCTCTCCCCACTGCCCTGAGGACAAGGTTTCTTGTCCCTAGAGCCCTCTACCTCCCAAATCCTGGATGGCCTAGAGGAGATCTGTCCAAGCCCCAATCTGACCATGTTGCCTGCTTCACACACACTCACTAGGCTCCATGTGAGCCTGCCTGACCTCCGCATACCAGCATCGCCTGCTCCTGGGAGTGTCGTGATCACCTACATAGTAGTTTGTGGCAAGGGGCTGGGGGCAAAGAATGGGTTCAAATCTGGGGTCCAGCACTGGCCAGCTAAGAGCCTCTGAATAAGCTTCATGGTGTGGAGTCTCTGTCATTTATTTCTTGTATGGAAAGGAGTATAGGTTTGATAACAATGGTGATGCCTCCCCAGAGCTGTTTGAGAATCCATAGACAGTATGGGAACACATACTAGAAATCCCAAGGACCTTACGGGAATGCATACTGGAAATCCCAAGGACCGTACAGATGTTTGTTCTTCTTTGCCCAGTCACCTCTGTTTCCCTGCAGGGACAGCTCCTGCGGTGAGGTTCTCCCAGCCCAGCGGCTCCCGGCCAAGACTCTGCTGCCATAATCCAGCAGCTGTGCCTGCCTCCACAACCTCCTCCCATCACTAATAAGCAGTGTGACCTGGGAATACTACCCAATCTCTTTGTGCCTGCCTTTCTTCCTCTGTACACAGCATCCTAATATTCCTTGGGTTACTAGGATCAGAGGGGTCAAAACACGGCAAGTGGGTGGCCAGGGGTTCAAAGGGAGGAAAGGGTGAATAGAAGCATAAGGGATTTGGGGGGCATTGAAACTATTCTGTATGGTAGCGTAATGCTGGAGGCAAGTCATTATACATTTGTCCAAAACGCATGCAACATAACACAAAGAGCGAATCCTAATGTAAACTACGGGCTTTAGCTAGTAATGATGTGTTAATTTGGCCTGTCAGTTGTAACAAATGAACCACACTATTGCAAGATGTTAATAACAGAGGAAATAGAGGGGCGGGGGTGAGGGGTAAGTGGACATTCTTTATTCTTTCCACTTCTTTTTCATAAACCTAAATTCCCCCCAAAATCTATCGTAATAAATCTATTTAATAATAATCTATTATAATAAATCTATTATAAATAAAAACAAACAAACAAACAAAAAAAACCCCATGACAAATAGCGAGCTTCCTGAACAGTGTGAAGCCTCGAATGTTTTCTGGTGTTACCATCCCATCATCGTCCGCACTTCGTTGCTGCACCTGGTCGTAGGACTCAGAGCCCAGGGCGCTTGCTCCCCGTGCACGCACCCCCAACAAGGGCGGCTCGCACCCTCCCACTGTCAGTCCTCAGCAAAGGGTCCTGGACTCAGACCAGAAGCCCAGGGATTTCTGAGGTGAGGGCGCCACCTGCCGGCCCCGCTCAAGCCTCCCCTAAAAGGCAATGAGCCTTGGGTCTGCGGTGTTGTCCTTGAGGCCTGGGCTCGGTTTCCACGAATCCGCGAGTCCCTCGCCGGGTCACTCATTCAAACCACCTGTGCCACGTAGCGAGGTCCAGGCTTGTCCCAAGTAACGACACTGCAAAGGTCAGATCTCGTGACTTTATTATGGAAAAGTCCCCAAAGTGCTGGACGCTTCTCTGAACGGACATCTCAGAGGACCCAGTCCTGCTTCTGGGGTAGCAGAGAGCGAGCAGGACAGGGGCGCGGACGGCGCAGGTGGGAGCAGCGGAACTCCCCAGTCACCTGTAGCCGACTTCTTGCTTTTGGCGCCAGCTCAGGGTTGTTACACGATGCCAAACGTTTAACGGTGTGCCAGGCGTTTGCCAGGCACTATTCTTAACATCTTACTGGGGTTAACGAATGGAATCCTCTTGAGGAACATACGAGGTAGGTACTATCATGGTTCTTCCCTCATTGTACAAGTAAGACAGCGGAGGAACAGAGAGGCTGAGTGACTCACCCAAGGTCACACAGCCAGAGAAGGGTGGGACTGCCATTGGATGTCCAGAGTCCGTGCTGTGTGATCCACCCGTCAGGCCGCCTCTACCTCTACTTTCCTCATCTGAGAAATGGGTGTACCAATTCCTCCCTGCCTTTCCAGGCTGACTGGGGCTGGAATAAAAGCTGAGAGGTGAACATGCCTGGTCAGTTCTACAGGATGGCTCGCAGGTGTAAGCCATCCCTGGGCCTCGCGGGCCCCGGACGCGTGTTCCTGCGCCAGGGCCTAGGGCTGCAGCTCGTACTGCTGCTCCGTGGCCGTGTGGAAGTCCTCGAGCACTGACTGCAGGAACTCAAAGGTGGGCCGCTCCTCTGGCCGGCTCCGCCAGCACTCAGCGATGACACTGCGGTACAGCTCTGGCGGGCACGAGTCGGGCCGCGGCATGCGGTAGCCGCGCTCCAGGCTGCGGATGACCTCGGGGTTGCTCATTCCTGCAGGTGGAGGGGACGCAGAGCGCGGCTGAGGGGCGGCGGGAGCCCGTGAGGCCCAGACCACCACATCCTCCCTCGCAGGTCACAGGGCTGCCCAGCTGGTGTCCCTGAGAAACAACCCTTTATTTACATGTCATTCCTCCGAGAACAGCTGGAGGGGAGGCTCTGGGTTGTCTCCTTAGTGCGGGCAGTTCCTCCGTGTGTGGGACCCTGTCTTGCTTACCTGCCATGGGCACACAGCCCAAGCCCATCCCTCGCTGGCCAGGTGCTCCGTGAAGATGCACCAGCTGGCGGAGGGAGACCGCTGGCTGTAGGCTGCTGAGTTGGCCAAGCCCTTCAGCGGCCCGGTTAGGGGGAGGGCTGGGAAGTTGTACAGTCAGAACACGGCTTCCGGAACTACACCCAAGGTGCAAGGCCAGAGGAGAGACAAGCTGTCCTCAGGTGAGAACCAGTTTGGAGTGAACTTGAGTTCAGACACTGACCTTCACTTAATTACTGGTTTGGGGGTTTACTGACCTCTCCTGAATGAAGGGGCACAGCCCTGTTGCCAAAAGCAATGTTGAGCAAGGGGCACAGAGCCTCTGTCCCCAGAGTGACATGCATGAGTCTCTGTTCCAACTGTGGAGACCCCATCCTGGCATAGATGTGGGCAGCTCCAGGCACCAAGGATGGGATATCTGTCATCGCAGCCATTTCTGGAAGGCAGGGAGCCCATCTAGTCACTGAGGTACCAAGCCACCTACCTGGATAGGGTACACGCCCGTAAGTGACGATTTCCATCAGGAGGATTCCAAACGACCACACATCCGCTTTGATGGTGAACACCCCAAAATGAATGGCCTCTGGGGCAGTCCACTTGATGGGGAACTTGGCGCCTATGAGAAAAGCCACAGGCAGCTTTGTGAGGCCATGACCGACTGTCCCTATGCACCTTCCCTCCCCCTCTTTAGCAGGCCTTGGACCACCATCTCTGTACACAACAGAGATGCTTCCAGAGAACCACGAAGACCCACTAGAACACATGAGTAGGCATGTTGAAGACACTAGGGGTGCACAGCCCAAGAGACAACCTCTATCACCCTGTTTGTGTTTCCACCTGGGACAGAAGAGTCATTTCCACCTCACATGTTTAATAACAGAAATCCATGGTTTGGGCAAGTCACCTTAACTGGTCCTGCCTTTTAATCCCTACCTGCAAAATGGAAATGATGACAAGGGACTTGTGTGCCACCTCGGGTCACGGTGAAGAGGGAATTCCAATCCTGCTGTCCCATGAAGCCCCCTGGAGAGCTGCAGCCTGGTCAGCATTTAGAGTAGACAGCATACAGCTCAGCACGGGATTACCTCCTTCCTTGCCCAGCTTTCTCGGTTTCTCCAGGCAGCCTGAAGCTTCCTCAGGGAACAAGCCCTATTGATCCTTCTTCTGTGCCAACTGATTAATATGCTCAGCTAATATTGCTTGCTAGCTTACTTGATACATGTATTTGACCATTTTAAATCCTCTCATGAAGAAGATTTTTTTTTTCTCATGAAGAAAAGCAGAGTGTTCTGTGGAAACCCTAATTCAGGTATAAGCATTTGCTGCCTGCTCATGCTTCAGAAAAATGTTTTCCATAGTGTGTTCTGGGAAACCCTAGATCTGTGGGAGGCTTATAGAAGCCAAGTGAAAAAAGTACCTTGGGTTCAAATTAGTTTTGGAGAGACAGGTGAAGCAAATATATGTTGTTTCTTTGCTGCAGGACTTGTCAGTGCCTTTCACATGTTGGTGTGCACCAGGAATCTCCAAAGAGGGTCTGAACGGCCTATGCAGCATCTCCAAACCTACTTCATCACAAAGCCATTCCTCATCAGACACTAGTGAAGCCCCTTTACAGAAATGCTGATCTACCTGGGAGTGAGGCCAGAATTGGGAAAACCACAAAGCTCTGCTCTGAAGTGGCAAGGAGAAGCACAGGGGGTTTAGGGAGTGGGGGAAGGTGAGGCCCAAGGTCTCCCTTGTAGATGGGGGCTCCGCCCACCTTCTTGAGCGGTGTATTCACTGTCAATGATGCGGGCCAAGCCGAAGTCCGCGATCTTGCAGCACAGGGTCTCAGACACCAGGATGTTGGCTGCCCTCAGGTCGCGGTGGATTGAATTCATTTGCTCGATGTACGCCATTCCTTCGGCAATCTGAGGGAACAAGCCACACGGTGAAGAACAGCGTAGGGACCTCCAGGCAAGGATGGAGCCCAACCAGAGTGCCCTGCAGAGCCGCTATCAGAAGAGGAAGGACCTGCCCACCTATCTGGAGGGCCGGTCCTCACCCCCTCATAGCCTGGAAGGGGCAGGAACACTTGGAGGTCTGTGTTTGTGTTTGTTGGCAGATGCATAGGGGGTGAGGGGTGCTGCCGGAGAAGGAGAAGAAGCAGATTCCTGAGTGGAGAAAACTGGCTTCCACCACTCTTCAGCTGAGTAAGCCATAGACCCCAGCCCTCGAAAAGCCCAGAAAAGCAGAGACGTGGATGTCAGAGCCAGAGCTGCTGGAACCCCTCACACACTTCTCTGTCCTTCCAAGTGTCTGCGGGGGAGGAAGACAGCAGAATGAAAGCAGGAGAAGAAGGTCTTTTGAGGGGCCGGGGAAGAAAAGGGCAGGGAAGGAGGGAAAGAAAGGGTTTTATCTCCTCGCCAAGTCAGCAGCACTGTTCAGGAGCAGGGAGCCTCGAATTGGAGCTGCTTAAGCTCTCTGAGGGGTCCCTGTCCTGACCTGGAACATGAGAAAAGGGGTCTTCAGGGTGCGGAGTTGAGGTGGGCATTACACAAGACATGTGGCCAGGGAGCTAACCAGGCCCTCAGATGGCATGCGCAGAATTCCAGTGGACCAGAGGCCGTTTCTGTTTCTGTCCCCCATCACCAGCACTGGGCCAGGAATAGCTGCTCGTGTGGCGCTTGTGTCTTGTAGTCGAGGAAACTCATTTAGGCTTTATTCTTCACACTCCCGCTTGACGGATGAAGGAATCGAGGCAGAGCATAAAATGCCAATGTACCCCCAGACCAGCGATGGCAAGAAGGCGGCACTGGATTTCATCCCACTTCTCCGTAAGTGTCCATCTGCCCTGGTTTATTCATGAATCCATTCCCTTAGTCATTCATTTATTCCTTTGCTAAATCATACATTTATTGGTATGCTACTGTGGGGACTAGAAAGCTGAATACCAAATATCTTGGATCTGGATAACATTTACCAGTACTCCTCCCATTAACAAATGCATACTGAGAAGTACTGGAAATCATACCAAAGGGGGGGAAAGTTGCAAGCGAACCAGATGGGCTTTCAAGACGACTACAGCACACACAGTGCTAACAGAAACTCATGCAGAAAGTGTTCTCTGCCCCTTTCCCATCCAGGGAAATCGGAATTGAATTTAACTTGGATCTTGAACGTTGGTTAGGATTTTACTGGATGAAATGCTAGGATTTTGCCCAGGCATTCTGGGTGAAGGGGGCAGCCTGAGTGAGGGCTCAGGGGTGTGACAGGACATCCGCGGGGGGTGGTGGTGGTGGTGGTGGTGGTGGTGGTGCTGTGGGGCTGCAAAGTAGGGCACATGGATTATGGTTGTAGGCGGGATTTGCATTTCATCCTGCAAAGCAGGAAAAGGAGCGCCCAGAAGGGTCGTGTGTATGTGTGTGTGTGTCCACACACGTGTGTGCTGAGACGCAAGCATGACTAGAATGGGGTTTAGAAGCTGTTCACTTGGAAGGTTCTGATTTTCTGGTTTCCTAACCCTTAGATTCTTGGCCACCCCTAGGTATAAATGCAGGTGGCTTTTCACATCCTTTGCCCCTGGGAAGACCCAAGATTTCCCCAGGGACTGAGAAAGAGACAGAGGAGAGTGAGAAAGGCAAAGAAAGAAAGAAAGAAGGGGTGGCCACTCTTATCACTGTTTTGTGGTTTGAGGCTGGTTACCAGTGTTAATTTTCCGAGACCACTCAGCACCCTACCCAAACCCAGGTGCGCTAACCTCAGTGGAAAAAGGGCATGGTGACATCAGTTCCTGCACTGATACTAATAACAGATAATACCAGACAAGGTGGGGATGGGTGGTGGTGTAGGGTGAGGGGGAGGTTTCCTCTCTGGAGGCGGATGTGTGAGTGTTTCTGGGTCTCACCGGCTGACCACAGACCAGAGCTTTTCTGCTGAGAGTTCCAGTTTTAGCAGATACACACACTCAGGGCCATCAGATGTGTTTCCCTGCCAGTTAGAACCCTCGGCTAACATCCCCGGGGAGGAACGACCCCTTCTCTCCCTTTCGATCTTCACCTCATGAAGCCTGGACTGTGATTCACCTGCTGGAGAAAGCATTTGTGGGCATAATCTGAGGAAGAAAGGAGGTCATGACATGTCTGCCTACACTGTCACATGGAATTCAGGTGAACCCTCCGGGTTTCCCACACCATCCATTCTCCTTCTCTTTAGGAATAATTGGACTCACCTCACTTCATCCCAATGGCCCAGAATAAAGACTGCATTTCCCAACCTCCCTCGCAGCCTGGGTGTGGCCAGGTGACATGGTTGGGGGCAAGGAAAGAAATGTCAAAGTAAGGATAGTAGGTGACTTCAGGGACATGTCTCTAGAAGGAAGAAGGTGGGAAGGCTGAGTGGCTCAGCTGTTAGAAGGAAGAAGGTGGGCTTAGATGACATGCTAAGTGCTGAGCAGATGGAAGAAATGTGGGTCCCTGTGTCTTTGAGGGAAAGACCCACTTACTGGCCCCCACACAGAACACCTCTTGATGTTTACAAATTTAAACCGTTATTACTCTGTGTTTTCTGCCCTTCCAGCCCAGCCTTAATTGAGTGGCTACAACCTCTGAAGAGCCAGTTTCATGAAGCCACAAGGCACAGAGGAGAGGGTGGGGTTCTGGGTCCATTTGGTCATCTCTACTCCTGAGCTTTGCTGTACTTGATAGCTCACAAACCTGGGCTGACATGTCGATCAGTCTGGGGAGGGACAATCTGCTACCTTCATCCGTCTTCAGGAAATCCAGCAAGCATCCTAAGGAAAGAGAAGTTGCAACCACTCTTGTGCAAAATGAACCAACCCCGGCTGTGCTGGTCCCTCCCATGTGTGTGCTGCCCCCAACCTGGTGTCAGGAAGCATGGGGCACCCTGTCAGATCTCCGGTACCCAGAGAACAAAACCACCCACAGCTGCAGAGTGCTTTCTGCTTTACAGAAATTCTAGTCTTGGTCGTCAGAGCATCCCAGGTGGCAGCCACTGTGCTCCCAGCTGCTCAGAGGAAGTTCAGTTTCAGCAAGGGTCAGAGCCACCCAGCTGGGGAGCCAGGAGCAGAACCTGATCTCCCGACTCTGTATTCAGTGCCTGTTCCTGGCATGATGTCCCACAGTGTCTTCCTGTCCCCTTCACCCTTTGTTGGCAGAGATTCTGTCTCTGAGGACCAAGGGTGCAAAAAATGCCAGCATGGAGACCCCTGCCTCCTGGGGTTTGGTGCTGGGGACAAATGCAGCTCCACTGTGACATCTAAGAACTGGGAGGCATGGCCACCTGAGGGGAGGCTGGGTGGGCGGCGGAGGCATTGTGCTCCCAGCTCAATGTGGGACCCCCTTGAGGATGATTTCTAAGGAGTTAGGTTAACATGGCAGGTTAGGATCCTACAGAAGCGTTGGGCAGTCAGGGTCACAGGAAGGGTGGGAAGGAGCTCACAGGCTGACCCCCACCCACTGCCCCATGAGATCTTGGCTCCACTGTGGACTTCCATGGCCAGCTGGCCTGATCTCTCTTTTCACCCATGATGTCATTTATGGTTGTCAGAGGTCCACGGCTAGTGAGTGGCAGAACTGGGACCAGAACCATCTCTGGATGCCCAGTCGAGCACTCTTGGCAGTGCTCTGCCCTCCCTAGTGGGCATCAAACAGTGCTGGGCATAGAAGGTGCCCTCCAAAAATGTTGCCTGAAGTGTGTCTGAATGGGGGACACAACTCTGGAAGAACCATTGACCCATATTGTTTCCCACCGTCCTTCCTTCCTGCCCCTCAGTACCGTGGAAAACCTAAGATCTGTAGGATATTGGCTAACTGGTGGGGCCCATGGCCCAGGGATCCCCCATGGAGGTCCCCTCACTGGCAGACTCACTGCAGCAGATCAGCCTCAGCCTTCTGGGCTCCTCAAGCCTTGACCCTGCCCCTCCCCACCCCTGTCTGACGATGCAGCCCCATGCAGGGCACCACCTCTGGCCATGTACTCGGTCACGATGTAAATGGGTTCCTTGGTGACCACGGCGTAGAGACGAACTAGCCTCTCGTGCTGGAGAGTTTTCATCATGTTGGCCTCTGCCAGGAAGGCCTCTGGAGACATGGTTCCCTCCTTTAAGGTCTTGATGGCCACTTTCACATTGTTCTTGTAATAACCTGAGCCGGTTCGGGGAAAGAATAAAGAAACCATTCAGAAGACCCGGACACTATGGGAGGTGATCACTTCACTAAAATGTCTATAAGCTTCCAGGAGCCATCCTTATTCTATAGGTGGAGGACTGAGGTCAGAACTGTTCCCCTAGGATGGAGCCCTGGACTCGAACGTTCAGGTCCTATAGGTGACAGATCGGCTGGCTTTTCCTGCAGGATGCCAGCCTGTCTCAGCCTCTTGTGCCTGACTGGAGCCTCAGGAAGTTGAGAAACTTCCCTGCCTGGAGGGAGGCTGTTTTACCTTCTCGCCCTTGCACCAGGTCTGTCCTGGTATGCCATGTCCCTTCCATCGTCCCTATAGCCTGCCTCCTCTCCCGACCTGAGTCTCTTCTACCACACAATAGCTTCAGCATGGAAATGGGCATCACAGCCCATGGCAACACTGCTGAGGAGGCAGAGGTGGCTTGTAGACCTCTTTCCCTCCTTTCTGTGCCCTGCAAGTTTTCTTCTCCTGTACCTCCACATTCTCCCCTCCCTCCATCAATCTCCCCCACCCACACTGAAAGGTAAAAGATAAATCATAATTGACACGGCCTTCTCAGGGGATCTTTGCAAGGACCTACGTAGGGCTCCGCACATAGGTGTTTCAGGCATCAGTCCCGGGTGCTGGAGGAGGGTTTGGGGACACAGTAGGATCTCACCTGGGTATCATGCCCCAGAGCTATGGACAGGTCCAGGAATAAAATAAAGCACTGCCTTTCATAGTCTGCTAGTGCTCTTGGTGAGTACAAGAGTGGTCGTCAGCTACACGTACAGGGACCGGGAGCTCAGTGACCTAGCTCATCACCCAGCTACAAGCAGTGGCTTGGTCTATTATTAGACTTCTGGAATTCCTGGTTCATCATTGACCATGTTGAACAGGTCATTTCCATCTGGCAAACCAAAGCTAAGAGGAGTTAGCCAGATGTTCAAGTTCACACACCAGTTCATGGCAGGCTAGCCCCCGGGCAGTGAAAAGTGAGGGAGGGAACCAACTAAGGTGTTGGGAGAGCTGGAGTCTGTTCCTACTGCACCACCGTGGTGTCCTGACAGTGGAGGGCAAGTCACTGCAGTGTCTTAGACTTGCCTTCATTACCTCATCTGTAAAATGGATACCATTGCCTCTTACCTTACAGATGAGGTAATGAAGGCAAGTCTACTTGGCCCTTCTCCCAAACAAGCTTTCTGGGGAAGCACAATACAATGTGCATGTCCCGAGCCTTCTGTGCTTCAGGACACAGGGCAGGGAGAGAGAGCCTTCTGGCTACCACATACTCACCCATCCAGACATCGCCAAACTGCCCAGACCCGAGTTTCCTGACCAGCTTGAGAGACTGCCGGGGGATTTCCCATTCATCCTGGGCCCAGGGGTTTTGAGGAGCCAGGCTCACACAGGGTTGGGTCAGCCTCTGGCATAAACCATCCCCTTTCTCTGCATTAGGGAAGAAGAGATGGGGCTGGAGATTACCAGAGTAGCCCGATCACAAGTCTCCCTCGGGAACCATATCCTTCCCAGCTGTGTCCCCTTCTTGTTTTTGCCAACCACACTCCCATGTCCAAGTACACATATGCCTGTGTTCACATTTGCTATACACACTCTCTGCTATTTGCATTCATTTTGCATAAAGCAAGGCATGCTGTCATTGACCTGCTCTAAGACTGAAAATCCTAGTTATGCTCCAAGTGGTCACATGCTGAGTGAGTCAGTAGAAGGGATTAGGGAAATCGACTTTGAATCACTGTGCCGATATTTGCCCAGCTTTGGGATAACCCCCTACCCTAAGATGGCACCAGTGATTCACATGATCTTGAGATCTAGTGATAGATCCAAGGGCTCCTCTGCATCCCTGTCACATCCTCCCCTCTTACGAGAATAATGCTGCACCAAAGCCTGGAGTGTAGGGAAGGTGATGCGGGGGGAGATGTAATAGCCCCCTTCATCCAGGGAGCGGATCTTGTAGTGTTTGATCATCTCCCCCTGGGTGGTCACATCCTTCACAGTCAAGGAAAAGGAACCTAGAGGAGTAATAAACACACAAGGCATACAGAGGGAAAATCAGGGTTGAGATTTGGGCTTCATTTCAAAACCACCCAAATTCTGCCCTCCCTTTTAACTCTTTCCACCATAAGTTACCTTTCTTTCATCTCAACCTCAACCCTCCAGAAAGCCTTCCCTATCCTCGCCACCCAACTCAGACCTTGATGTTTATCTCCCAAAACTCAGCCAGGGAATCCCAGAGCTCTGAAGCAAACATGCTGTCCCCTACTTGGGCATCTGGTCATCCAGGGACCTCCCCTTTGCCCTGGACTATTTATTGAGAAATGTAGAGTTATTGGAGGAAATAGAGGATTGATTGATTCCTGGATTCATTCAACTCATTCATTCTAGCTGAAAAGGCTGGCTCTGCCCCCACAAGGAATAGCAAACACCAAACTTAAGCACTCATGTCCGTGGAGGAGAATATAATAAGCTATTTCCCAGGAATTCTATTCAAATTCATAAACATCTCTGCACCTTGTCATGTATATTACTGTCTGCCTGCAGACAGGGATAGCAGATGCTAAAGGTTAAGATCAATTTAGGAGGCAAGAGTTTCCACTGGAGAAACGTCTTTCCACGACTTGATATTCTTATAAAATGTCTCTGTCCAGCTCTCTGGGTAACACGCCCGCTACTCTTAATGGGAAGATGAGGAAATTGAGGTCAGGAAGGGGAATGCTAGTGGCTGGCTGAGGGTTCCCCATCCTCGGAGAGGACGTTTTATGCGGTAAGCGATACAAAGCTCCACCGCTAGGTGTCAGGCTCGGACGCCTCTTCTTCTGGGTGTGCATGCCTGGTTTTTCCGCGGTGCTGTTTGTCTCCCTCGCAAACCACCTTTCCCTCTCAGCTCCCTTAGCTATTGCGCCTCTCATCACCTACTTACAAACCATGCAAGATGTGTGTGCACCTTGCTGTCGCCAGGCCCATCCCACGCCCGCGACCGCAGCTCCGCCCTGCTCGCTGCAAACTGTCTCCCCTGCCTCGGCCCGGTAAGTGCAACCCGGTCTCACTATCCAAGAAACAGGAGAGTGGCTCTAATGAGTTCATTGAACCTTGCACCACCCGGGTAGTGAGGAAGAGGGCCTTTCTTCCCCCCCTCCTCTTTTTTTTTTTTTTCTTCTTTTCAGCCGGACTTCGTGTAGGCTGCATCATAAGAAGCCTAGGAGACCCTGCTCTCCTCCCCACGATGCTGCTACTGGAGCTCATGATTTAGGGCTTCCAGCTTGCCCCGGGTTCATCCAAGGGCCTGTCCCCCATTTCTTTTCACAGTTTAATATCCTTCTTATTGTTATTCCTCCAAATACTTTCAACTGCTGGTTCAGGGCTCCCAGAGATTGAGATTTAATGCCCGCAGAACTGTGCCTTCAGACTGGGAAACTAGCTGATCCTCACCCAGGTATACCCATAAACAGAGGTTTGAGAGGCTAAGAGACGACAGGGGCAATACGGAGTGAGAATTCATTTCCCCAGCTTCTGTGGGCAGTGTTCCTTCCCTGTCTTCCATCCGCTGGCTGCAGTTTTCAGATGCAGAGGGAGGGCACTTGCTTCGGAGTTCTGAGGAGCATGTGTGCACCTGTGTCTATGTCCGTCTGTGTGTGTGGGCTTGATGATGCTGGGGCAGTCCTGCAGCCCTGCCTCCAACTGGCCAATTTCCAGCTTGGACTAGCTTCCCCATGGTGGGCAAGGACAAGAGGGGTACCCCCACCTTTAGAGAACCCCTTCCTCCATCCTGAGGTTGGGGGGGTCCTTTTCTTCCGAGGGCACCTTAGCAATAGACAATGACTAAGACATCATGTCCAGGGCTAAATCACATGATTCTGGGACTTGTGTCAACATAGTAGGGGTGGGTGGGAATACACAGAAAATAGGATTGACTGAGAGATCACTGTCCAAGCAGAATGTTATGCACAGGGGGTTCCATTATACTATTCTCTCTACTTCTGTACATGTTTGAAATATTCTCTAAAAACAAAGAGGTATGTCATCTCCAGGGATTCCCAAATCGCTTCTTGGTCAAAGGTGCTTTGCCATTAAAATGGAATAGTGGCAATATGGCAATATCCAGATATAGATATATATATGGATTTAATTTATCCACTGGTACATTTCTGGAAATTTTGTATAGACCACCCAACTTACCAATGCACACCCCCTACTCCTCAACCTGGCCCTGACCCTTTGAAGGGCAGGGAGGTATTGGGATCTCCCCCGAGCGTCCCAGGGTGTAATGAGCAGCCCTCCTTGTCCCTTGTTTGCTGCTCTGGGGCTTCCACTCACTGTGGTTCTCAAGCTGTGATGGAGCTGGAGGACAAGGCTGGCGGGGTGCTCCCACTAAGCAGAACCTCTGTCTCCTCTCATTGCCCCAACCACAGGGAACCAGCTTGCAGCCCAGCCATCATCTCTCCCCTTCCTCCTCTGATGTCACTGTCACCACCTCTCCTCCAGTTAAAAATTGGCCACAAGGATATACAAGGTCCTTATGTGCCATGTCATGATGAACAAAGGCTTCCTTCATGTTACTCAGGGAAATTTGCCTCCATCAGCTCACGACAGGCCAACTGGATACACTGTAGACCTTGTAAAGTCTCTTAGATGATTTGGGTTCTGATCCTCTGATCCCTGTTCACTGTTGGCCTCATGGGAGTCATTTCTTCCCTTAAAGACTCAGTTTCCTCATCTTTCAAATGGGGTTATTGGCTCATCATCCCAAGGATGGCAAATATGTACCAGGAAGCATATATAATAAGGTTCAGAGCAGCACGTTCACAACAGCCACAAGCTGGAAACAGCTATGTCTCCCAACGTTAGAAAGGAGGAACAGCTTACAGAATATTTATATGCTGGGCTCTGTAGAGCAGTGAATGTGAATGGACCACTGTCCTCAACAACACGAGGGCACCTTTTATGGGCTGAATTGTGTCCCTCCCAAATTCCTATATTGGAGTCCTCCAGTAGCTCAGAATGTGACTCTATTTGGCAATGGGATCTTTAAAGAGTAACTACTAAGGTCATTGGCCGGGGTGGGGGGTTGACTAATCCAACATGGCTGGTGTCCTTGTTAGAAAAGATTAGGACACACACTGAGGACAGACCAGGTCAGGACACAGGGAGAAGGTGGCCATCTACAAGCCAAGGAGAGAAGCCTCAGAAGAAACCAATCCTGCTGCCACCTCTATCTCGGACTGCTAGCCTCCAGCACCACCACGACACAATATATTTCTGTGAAGCACCCCCAGTTTCTGGTACTTTATTACAGCAGGCCTAGTAAATTAATATAGACTGTAACAAACGATGTCAAGTGGAAGGGACAAGACATATAAAAATAAAAATAGTATGATTCCACTTGCATCAAGTTGAAGAATACGTGAAACATGGGTGGTAAAACCATAAGGAAAAGCAAGAAAGGATTTCCCTAAAAGTTGGGGCACCTGGGTGGCTCAGTCCGTTAAACATCTGCCTTCAGCTCAGGTCATGATCCCAAGGTCCTGGGATAGAACTGGCATCGGGCTCCCTGCTCAGTGGGGAGTCTGCTTCTCCTTCTGTCCTTCCCTCTGTTTGTGAGCGTTCTCTCTCTCAAATAAATAAATAAAATCTTTATAAAAATAAGAAAAAGAAAAGAGGATTTCTTTAAGAGTTGAGATAGCCATGATTTCTGTTGGGGGGGGGTGGGTAGGTTGAGTCAGAAAGGGGCACAAGTGGAGTGGTGAGAGGGGCTGTGGATGTCTGGAATGTTCGCTCTGCTGTGGCTGCACAGGTGTTTCCTTGTTTTGACTCTGTAATTATACCCTCACTTATAATTTATGCAAGTTTTGTATGTTTTATATGTCATAACAAAAGTAACTTTAATAAGGAAAGAAGGAGAGAAAACAAAATGAAAGAGAAAGAGAAAGCCCAGTGGCCTTCAGGTGGTGGCAGAAATGTTTTGGTCAATCAGGGGTTTTGAATCCATGAGTGCTCCTCATTCTCCACAATGGCTACCCCAGTCTTTCATACCCAGCCATAGGCCTTTCTCCAAACTCTGTCACCTTCCAGGTGACTGTAAGTGCCTCAGCTGAGATGATTTCTAAGGAGTCTATGGGCTCCCAAATCCTTTGATTCCAAAACATGGCTCTGGGTCTCTCCCTCTCTTCAGACCCCGCCAGCCTCAGTGTCCCCACTGAGCCAGAGATGATGCACAGTAGCCTGGGTGGGAGCAGCCCTCTAGCTCCCTCTCCTACTTGCACCCTGTTCATGTCCAGCCCAGCCAATGGAGACCTGTTGGCACCATAGCCTCACACCCAGCTTCTGGACACTAGATGGGCTGTCCAGGCAGTGCCTGAACTGAAAGAGAGACAGGAGGCCTGGAAGCCTCTAGGTTCCCCTGGCTGGCATTCCCAGAAGAAGTCTGGGGTGGGGGGTGGGGGGGCTTCCTGGGGACTACACAGGAAGGGTGCACTGGGCACCATGCTTACCTTTGTTGGTTTCACTCTCTCTGATAAGAAAGGAACCCGCCTTATTGATTGGAGCCAGAAGCTGCCTCTCAGCATCTTTCCGGCTAATTGATCTAAAGAACCATCTGGAAAAGGGAAAACGCAGGCAAACCTCAGAGGCCGACCATACTCCTTGAAATATTCTTATCCATGCCTCCCTTCTAAGCTGTACACGCCCCGCCCCAAAAAATAGCGTTTTCCTGTTTTCAGGTTAACCCTGAAATAACAATACTCCTCACATCTTGATTCATGAAATGCCCTTTGGCCCCTGAGCTCCCTTTTCTTTTTACTTCCCATCAACGGATGGACTTACTTCTTTCTTGAACTGAGAACATTTTTGGGTGCCCTTTGTTAATTCTACTCTGGGAAAATGTACCCAACCACCTTCCCTCAAAGCAGCCCCTCCTTGAGGTCAAGTCTGAATTCCACAAAGTGCTGAGACCCTCAGAGCACAGATTCCTGCCATGTTCCTGTCAAGCAAGGACCAATCAGTGTGGAAGTTAGTGCCCATGACCCCACACACTGTTCCAGAGAGAGGTGCAGGCCTGGGAGTGCCAGACAGAGAACCCTCCCAAGGGCGACCAGTGATACCAGGTGAGGCCACTAACCCAGTTCCAGCACTTTGCTCATGAGTTTAACAACTCTCAGCTCTTTCAGGGAAAAAGCCGCATCCTACTCATTTCTACAGCTTTCTCCACATGTGGACAGAGTCAGAGTCTGGGTTCTGTTTGTTCAGTGCATGTTGTAGGAGGGAATGAGTGACTGGTGCTATGCAGAAGTGGGTTATGAGGGTTCTGGGGAGTACTGCTTTCTGGAGGCCAATTCTGAGCAAGGCCACCACGCTGTGAGTACCCCTAAGTCCTGCCCATTGGAGGCCCTGGAGGAGAGGGAGCTGATCATTATGCCTCAAGGTTAGCTTGCAAGGTCATGGGCCTGTAGGGATGTTTACATCCAAATAAATCAGGGAAGGAGCAGTTCCATTTCACAGATGGGAAGAGTGAGGTGAGCACAGAGGAGTGGTTCCCTGAGCACCAGGCTGTCTGGGTCTGTGGATAACACTTCCCAGCAGCCCCAGTTATGCCCCTTTCTAGCTCCCTCCATGCTATGCTCCCAGAATCTCACCTTTCAGTCCCTTTCCGACCCCTCCCTGCCCAGCAGCCCCCAGGGCAGAAGCAGCAAGTGGGCCTCAACTCTGAAGGACCCTCCATGTGTTCACCTACTTTTCCACTTCCAAGGTCTCCACTCGGGCCACAAAGTTGCTGGGCACATAGCCTTCTCTTCCAGTGATGAGAGACCTGGCCAACCACCAGTCTCCAACTCTACGGAGGAGGGAAAACCAAAATGGCATAGTGGCTCCTGTGTGTATCTCTGGGGGGGCACTCACAGCCCTTCCCCAACTCCGATCCCATCCCTGAAGCAGATGATGCACGGAGGGCAGATGAGAAGGAACTGGTATGAGTTGCTCAGTGTGGGGGGAGGTGCAAACTTGCTAAGCATCTCACAGACTGGTCCAGGGAGGAAGGGGTTGGTGAAGACTCCAGAGGAAGAGTTTGTCCAGACAGCCTGACCACGTCAGAGGGCCCCTGTTTTCCGTGAGTAGCCTTCCTCTTGGTTAATGGGACAGATTGAGAGTTTAGTGAGTGAGTCGGGACCAGACAGGAAAGACAATAGCAGGAGGAGAGATGATGCCCAAAGGAGGAGCCAGGCAGCCCACGTGTGCTCAGAAGGTCGAGGCTTTTGTGCTTTGGGCTCAAGGCCATTGCAGAACTTCAAGAACAAAAGCAGAACCTCCGGGCTCCACAGAAAAAGCCCGATGTTTGAGAGAGAGCAGACTTTGGAGGAGTTTCTGAGAGGGAGCCCTAGAAATTAAGTAAAGATGATTTCATGAGCAGAATCCTGTGCGAGGTCCTGGCTGGCAAGGGAGACACACAAACCTGTGGCGGAGCAGCCAGGCAAGCGCTGTGCCTGTCAGGAGGGCTTTATGGAGGAGGTGATGTTTGAGGTAGTTTTGAAGGAGAAGTACGATTTTGACAGTGGAGTGGGAGATAGTGAATGGAAGCCACCTTGTGAGAAAGACTTTGGAACGGTAGATAGAGGAGAAAACTGGGTCAAGGTAAAAAGAAATGGTGGGTGTCTAGACTGGGGGTAGAGAGATAGAGGAGATACTCATGGAGGGCAGGGATGGGGTGGTGTGAGGAGGTGGACGGCTGGGTGGCTGTCCCACTGTGATAGGGAGGCTCAGAGTCCCCTGACCACAGGACCGCATTCCAGGAACTTACTCCTTCAGTATCTGTAGCTTCTCCCCCTTCAGCATCTGCAGGTCCCTGTCATTCACTGAGCTGTAGTCATACAGGGCCACCACGAAGTGCTCCTCTAGAGGGAACAAGGAAGAGATGTGCACCGCTTGGGCCCAGCAGAGTGAGGGCAGGGGCTGGGTGAGTCTGTGCTGTGGGCCATTTCTGGCTGCCATGAGGTCAGGAGGACACAGGGACAGAGGGGAAACTGTGGTGTGCTTTCTCTCTCACCGAGGCAGCAGGGGATCTCCTGTCTACCAGACTGACCTTCTAACTTTGCTGCCGGGAATAAGGACAGGCTGCCCCTAGAGTCCACCCTGTCATCCCTTCTGGTCTCCACATTAAAGCCCTAAGGCCTGGCCAGAGCTACCCTCTCAGGGAGTAACTAGCCCAAAGATTTAGAGAGATTGGCTGCTCTGGGCTGAAGGCTGCCATCCCAAGTTTGGGAATGAGCGTTGGCTGATTCCTTATTGCCTCAAAGTCACATCAGCTTCCCTTCTCTTCCCCTTCCCCAACTGCCCCTCCCTACCTCTATTCCAAAGAGAGTAGTGGTCTTGGGAATGTGGCTGCTATAACCTTGACCTGTAACTGTGGCCTTGTGCTCCTGGCAGGTGGTACCCTGACTTGCTGCTAGTCCCAGGAATGGACATCCAAATGGCCACTGCGAGTAAGGAGGGCTTTTCTGCCAGCTCTGGAGAGCCAAGAGCCACTGGAAAATGTCACTTGGAGACCACTTTGATCACCTGGGAGCGGATGACTCAGCTTTGTCACTGATGTGTGGTGTGACGGCTAGTCACCTCCCCATGGGGGGAAGAGGGGATTGGAATAGATGACGATGCCTCCCACCTCCAGTTCTAAGATTCAAGTCTTTGCATCGAAGGAAGTTAGTTTATTGCTTTCCCCAGGGCTTCCTTGCTGGGGCCGTGAACCGCCACCCCTCCCCCCCAAGTAGGAAATGAAGGACGAGCCTTGTAATCAATCGTGAGTCCCAGCAGGATGAGAAACACCAGGATGAGAAACATCTGGTTTCAGCATTTTGTTTGGGAGCTTGACAGACTCTGAGCTCTCTCAGGTTGAGGAGTCACGTCTTATTCAATTTTATAGCCTCCCCAGTATTTGGACAGAGTAGGTACTGTTTGCTCAGTGCATGCCGGGTGAGGCTATGAGGGACCCAGGCTGTCAGAGCTCCTCATGCTCCTGCAAGCCAGTTCTGAAGGAAGCGACCATCCTGTGAGCCACACCCGCCCCCCAGGCTCCAAACCCCTGACCCAGGAGGGCCATGGTCACTCATTACACGATCCCCCACTGTCCTACCCACCAGTAGAGATGGGGTGAGGGAGGGTGGCATGAGTGGTCAGAAGGCCAGCAGCAGCTTTGGAAAGTGGGGAAGTTGGGGAGAAAGATAGTGTTTTCTTTCTCGGAACAGACTCAGGGCAGGAGGGAATACTCAGACCCATCGGCTCTCGCCCTTTGAGGTTGGGAGTTAGAATCTTTGAAAACTTGGTTTTGGGGGCACCTGGGTGGCTCACTAGGTTAAAGCCTCTGCCTTCTGCTCAGGTCATGATCCCAGGGTCCTGGGATGGAGTCCAGCATCAGGCTTTCTGCTCAGCAGGGAGCCTGCTTCCCCCTCTTTCTCTCTGCCTGCCTCTCTGCCTATTGTGATCTCTGTCTGTCAAATAAATAAATAAAATCTTTAAAAAAAAAAAGAAAACTTGGTTTTGTTTTTTATGCTGTTTGTATTTATTGTAACATTTTTCTTTTTGTCTCATTTATAGTTTGTAGTTCTTTTTTGAAAAACAAAACACAAAAACCACCCAGGCTCAGTTACAGGAACTGGGTCTTGGTTCCCGCAGGGGCCCCCATGGGCAGGTGAAGCCTGGGGCAGAGTTAGGCCACACCCCTCGCTATGCCTGGTTTAGTTGCCTCCCCCCATAGCCTCCGCCTCTCTGACCCTGGAGGGCCTCCCCTATCCTCTCCAGGAAGCTGCTCCCAGCTGGGCCCCTGTTCTGCCTGCACAGAGCCTGGGCCCAGGGCAGATGGCCTGGAGACCCTGGGCTTCAAAAGCAGCCGCTTCTTACCTTGGTCTGGACACGTGTCCGGAGGTGCAGGAGCCAGGTGGTTAAACAGCACCTGCAGCAGAAACACACACACACACACACACACACACACGCTGCAGTAGTTCCATACCCCCCAAACCCAAGGCCTGGGCTGGGAGGCTGTTGCACCTGTCACCCAGGGGCTCTGTAGGGCGTATTTCCCTAAAATTCAACAAATACATCCCTAGGTATATATCCTGTAGAGAAACTTCTGTATGTTGTATCGGGAACCATGCACGAGAATGCTCCCAGCAAAACTACAATAATACATAAGAATTGTAAAAGGTGGAAATCGTTCTTAGGACTAATGACAGAAAAATAAGCAAACTGGGGCACAGTCATGCAAGGAAATGCTACGCCGCTGTGGGAACTTCTGAGCTCCAGATATGCGCATCAACGTGGATGAAGGTCACAGACTTAACGGGAGATCTGACAACCACGTCTCAGAAGAATACATGCTGTTTGATTCGATCAAAAGTTCACAACTGGCAGAAGAAACTAAACAGTCTTTAGGAGTATATGCACATGTGATGATACAACACGGCAAGCTAAGGAATGATGGACACATTCAGGGTAGGGGCCTGGGGTGAGGGATGGACTTGGATGGGGACAATGGTCACTGCTCCTGAAGACCAAAGGGGCTGTGCTGGGTATTCATTTCATTATCCTTTTAATCTGATGGACATGTTATGAGTATCTTTTGTTTGTCTTCCATATTTATTGAACACAATTTTGAAGCAGCATTTTGCCACATGGTACATAGAGTATGGCTCCATAAATATAAACACGTAATATAAATAACATCGACATAGGGTCTGGGAACAGGGGTTCTGTAGTGCTAACTCTGGATATCGCTGGCTAGTGGGATAATGAGTGTTTATAATTTTTCTCCACAATTAGAATATATCATATGATTTATTTTTTTTAAAGTTAAACACTCTGGGGCACCTGGGTGGCTCAGTCAGTTGAACATCTGCTATCGGCTGGGGTCGTGATCCTGGGGTCCTAGGATCGAGTCCCACGTCAGGCTCCCTGCTCAACGGGGAGTCTGCTTCTTCCTCTCCCTCTGACCCTTGCCCCTGCTCATGCTTGCTCTCTCTCTCTCTCTCAAATAAATAAATAGTCTTTAAAAAAATAAACTTTAAAACATTCCAGCCTCTATAACTTATTAGCATGTAACTTTGGCGATATTACTCAGTCTAAGTCATCTGAGCCTTCATTCACTCATTCAACAAGCATCTCATTGTTCTGTGCTAAGTTGAGACACAGATAAAATGCCTTGTTTGTCTAAGAAATGGGATTAGCAATCCTACGTCCCATCAGGTCACTGTTGGACTAAATTGATGAGCAGTTGAATGTGCCCCCAGAGGCAGAGAGCAAGAGAGCAGGTTCCAGGCATGACTCCCAACTGCCCCCAACCAAAAAGGGATAGGTGGCCAGGTGGGGGAGGGGAGTGTCACAAACAGACATCTAAAAATGCCTCTTTGGAATGTAGTAGCCTCTGTGGAAGGGCTCTAAGTGTTCTGTAAACAAGCCCAGAACAGCATCTCAGGCTCCACGGGAAGCCAAGGGTTTGCTGGAGAGATGTGGCTAGTCTTAGGGTTCCTCATTCCTGGAGAGTAACTCCTTGGAAGGTGGGCAGCAGTGCTAGGAAGGGGACTATTGTCCAGGAGCTTCTGGGTAGGGGTGGGGGCAGCAGACGTTGCTACGTGCCTCAGACCCATTCCCACCACACCCTCTTCTCGAGCTGAACTTTTTGATTTCTTTTTCTCTTCAAGGCTGCCCTTGTGAAATGAGAACTGGCTAAGAATTACTGGGAACTACACATGCCCCGTTCTGTGCTAAGGGTAGTATGTTATGGAATTGCATGGTTGTATATACATCACATGTTGTTACCTCCCTATCAGAAAGGCACTTTCACTATACCCATTTTACAGATGCAGAAATTGAGGCAAAGGGGAGTTAGTAACCTGCTTCAAAGCACACAGCTATTCAATGTAAACACCGGCACTCTTGCTGTTACACATCTTCTGCTGTATTGCCACACCAGCATGAGGTGGCTGCCACGTTTGGTGGCAGGGGCAAGGGGCAGATTTGTCACAGCCCTGAATTATCTAGAGATGGCCCTGGTGCTGGCTGGAGACAAGCATGTGCTCTCTGCTCTTCTTCCTCCCTCTCCCTTTCCAGCTGGGAACAGCCATCACTCACCAAGGGTGGCAGTGGTGGGGGATCTTTGCTCTGGGTGCTGACCTTCACAGGACTCCATTGGGCCTTACTCTTCTCCTTCACCTGCTTTTTGCTGCTCACCACTCCCATCCTGTCAGAGAACACACAGCAGACTGGTGATGTGAGTAGGCCTTCAGAGCCTCAGTACAGAAGAGCTCCCCCAGCCCCTTCCGGATGGCCAATTAGAGAGAAGAGGAGGAGGGATGGAAGTGGGAGGGCAATGAAAGTCAAAATCAGAACATGGAATCAGGTTAGGGGATCTGGCAGGCTAAGCTTCCATTGTCTTTTTTTCCCCCAGAGCAGGAAGAAGAGGTCCAGAGAGAAGGAATAACTGGGTTTAGGACACAGAGATCATCTGCCTGAGCAAACTGCCAGAAACTGCCAGGGTGGACCCCAGTGCCCTAGGGACAGGAGCCCTGGCATCCGGAAAGTGTTGATGATAATTCTCGTGGTCTGGGTTCTAGTCTTCACTTTGCTACAGTCTGCATTACATGGGAAGGTCACGTTCCTCTCCCAGCCCGTGTAAGAACATGTCTGAGGTTCTTTCCCGCTCAGATTTTCAGGTGAGAGGCTATAAATTCAGGGCCCAGGGATGGTTCAGGCATCCGAGGCCAATTGCCTCTTCTCAGGAATCTCAGAGAAACTTCCTTAGAGGTGAGAGAAATACAGCCAAGATTCTTGGGTAAAGGATCATAGAATGATGGAAGTGGGAAAGACGCTAGAGACCACAGCCGCATCACCAAGACATCAGCACTGCCTCCGTTCCAGGGCTGGTTCTTTAAGAGGGGCTTACACTTGACTGGGAACTTCACAAACCCTGTCTCCGTCATCCTTTTCGCTTTAAAGTAAGCGTAAATAGGCGCTATCACGGTCCCAGACTGAGGTTTGACATGTTCCGTAGCTGGTTCATGGTCACTTAACCTTTGAAGAGCCAACTCTGGAGTCCTGGCTGACCACTGGCTACTACACTCCACCTCACACCTGGCCCATCCCCAACAGGCAGACATTTAGAGGAAAGGACCTTGCGTTCCTGCTCTTGTCTGAAGGGCCGTGCAGTTGGTGGAGAGTTCCTGACTGCTTTCAGATGTGTTCACAGCATTTCTTTGATTCCAAGGTGCACCCCTCCTTTTTTTTCACATTTCAATATCTCTGAAACCATGATGTGTTTTACAACTAGTGATGGTTCATAAAGTAATTAGCAGCATCTTTTTTCCCTATGTCAGTCATACATAAAATAAATGTTAGCCTTCCAAACAGTGGTGTCTTAGATTTAATGAAATGCAGTGGTGCTTTTCTTCCAGAAAGGTGAAAGCACATGTCTCATATTACTTTTCCTCAAATCTCCTTGAAGAAAAGGAAGACTATAATAATCTTAAATATAGGACAGAGAGCCACAATAAATTATCCATGAATACTTAGTTGGGGTATGCCTTGGGTACAGGGCTCGCAATACTTCACATTTGTAAAGAACGGGACTTTTTAAATGAAATTTGGTACCAAAGTTATGGGCCAACATTTCAGTTTTCAGAGATTTTTTTTGGTATCAGAATTTTGCATAAGGGATTATGGGTTTTTTATTAAGAATTGATACTAAGGCTCATGTCACATCGGGCTCTCTGCTCAGCAGATGGTCTGCTTCTCCCTCTCACTCTTCTTCTGTACTCTCCCTGTCTCTCTCTCAAATAAGTAAATAAAATCTTTAAAGAGAAAAAAAAGAATTGATATTAAATTTTATCAGGTACTTATTGAGTATCTTTTAATATGATAATTTAATTTGTTGATGGGATGAATTCTGTTGATAAATTTTCTGCTACTGAAACTTCTCTTCATTCGGAAATAAAAGCTGTTTGGTTACAGTTCACTAGTCTTTTTGATACATGGATGGATCCTATTTGCCAATATTTTATTTCAAATGAGAATCAATATTCCTGAACGGGTTCTGTGTATGAGGAGTTAACACCAAGTTAATGCTGGCTTTATAACATACAAGGGAGCTGTCCACCTTTTTCCTATGGTCTTGAACTGTTTAATAACCTTGGGACTCTCTTCTTTAAAGGCTATTTAGAACTCCAAGGGGTCCTTTTATAAAAAGTAGGTCTTTAAGTAAATTTCCAATTTCTTCTACAAGAATTTGTCGGTTCCCATTTTTCCTCTCCCTTGCACCATTTTGATGATTTATATGATTTATAGATCTTTGATTTCCTCCATTTTCCAGTTTGTTGCCATAAAGTTTTATATAGTATTGTCTTGTAATTATTTCAACCTCTTCTCTTTCTTATGTCCTCTTTCTTGTTCCTAATATAAATTAAATTAACTTTTTAAAAAAGATTTATTTATTTATTTATTTATTTGACAGATAGAGATCACAAGTAGGCAGAGAGACAGGCAGAGATTGAGGAGGAAGCAGGCTCCCTGCTGAGAAGATAGCCTGATGCAGGGCTGGATCCCAGGACCCTGGGATCATGACCTGAGCTGAAGGCAAAGGCTTTAACTCACTGAGCCACCCAGGTGCCCCTAAATTAAATTGTTTTAATAACAATTACAATTTTTAATTGGATAAAATTATCTGAAATTTTCTCTGACCAAATAAAGTTTTAATCTAGCTTTAAAATAATGATAAAGTAGACTGTAATCAAAACAGCATAAAATTGGCATAAGAACAGACATATTATCAATAGAGCAGAATAATAAGCATGCAAACAGATTATAGTGCATTTGGAATTGCATATATGAAAAAGGTACATTTTACTTCAAAGGAGAACTGATGGTTGATTTTAATAAGTGACATTTAACAAGTGGCTGTCTACCTAGAAGAAAAAGCAATTGAACCCCTACCTCACACCATATTAAAAAATAAATTCCACAGGTACTGAAAAAATATTAAAAAGTTAAAAATATTTAATTGAAAGAAAATTTAGGAGACTATATATATGACCCAGAGTTTGGAAATAACAATGAATAATGATAGAATAGTCAGAAGCTGAAAGGACAAAAAGACATATTGATAGCAAAAATACAAATTTATAAAAGTGAAAGGTATTCTATAGTTAATGAAATCATTATGAAGTCAGTACCTGAGCAATAGATTGGGAAAATGACTTGCAAGGCGTACTGCAGATAAATGTGTATTTATAATATACACAGAGCTCATGTAATTAAACAAGAATATGGTCTAGCATACGACCCACTCAATAAAAAAATGAATAAAGATTGTGAATGTCAGTTCATCCAACACAAATCCCACTAGATAAACAAACATGTGAAAAATGTTAAATTAAATGCAAATTAAGATAAAATAATCACATTACATCAATAAGATTGGGGAAAAAGAAAAGGAATGATAATACCAATTGTTGATGGGAAAGCAACATTAACATTCTACAATACATTCCTGGTAGAAAAGTATTTAATATAATTACTGTTCTTTCATTCATCTCTTCTTCCCCATTGTATTTCTAGGATCAACACTCAGTGAAGGCTGGGATCTTTATCTTAACTCATTTTTTAATCCAAATTGCCTGGCAAGGAGTAAGAACTTAATAGATATTTATCAGACAAATAAAATATGAAATATTACTGACTGTGTAGAAATTTTTCGTTTTATTAAAATTAAAGAATACATATATCTTTAAATTTACAGTCCCAATTCTGGGAATCTCAGAGACTAATCAAACATCATTATGTAGGAATATATGCGATATAAAAATGTTTATTGCAGCAATACTGGTAGTTACAAAAAGCAAAACAAAAAAACTCTGTAACTGCTCACCATTTGGGGAATTGTTGAATAAATATGCACTCTAAAAGTCTCTAATATATTATACAACTCTTAAAAAGAATGTACTACATCTTTACAAGTGAAGCTAAGAGGACTTTTCCAGAACATGCTGTTACATGAGAAAAGCAAGATGTACAGAGGTGCATAAAATTATTCCATATTTGGAAATACCAAAGAATGAGAAAAGAAACCTCTATGCAGACACGCATACATTTTTATGTTACATGAAGAGAGGTTTAGGAGGACGAACGCAAAGTTGTTTACTTTCATTATTGGTGGGGGAGGTAGAGACAGACAAGGGAGGTGGAAAATGAAAAAACAAAACAAAAGCAAATTACAAAAATCCTGTGTGTGTGTGTGTGTGTGTGTGTGCGCGCGCGCGCACGCGCATATTGTGGCCCAAAAAGATATTTCCTAAAATGTTAAATGTTGTTTATTTCAAGTGATAGGACTTCATGTAACTTTTACCTTCTTTCATATAATTTTATATGTTTCTTGAATTCTTTAATAAGAAGCATATGTTATTTGTACCAGTGGAAAAAGAGAATACCAGTACCTGGTTCAGCAACAGAGAGGCATAAGGCCTGGAGCCAGGGCCAGCCCCAGTTCTTAAGAACAGCCACTGAGTAGCCACGAGGGCTGCCTGAGCCTCACGCCTTTCCTGACTTCTCCCGACCTCCTGGCTCAATGAAGGGTCAGCAGGCAGCAGCTTCTAGAATTTTTCCAACTTGGACTTCTGCTTCTGCCACGGCCCAAATGATCAGCCATATCTGGTCAGCCATATTGCCATCAATTTTAAACTTCCTGACAAACGTTTTTGTCCACTTAAACAACATAACCGAGTGTTTAAACAACTTGACAAAAAGTTAAATTCCTGAAATCAAATCACCCACTACTTATACTTCTTTGTCCTTCACCTCCTTAGCGGTGTATATACGGATGACTTTCCACGGTTTCTATACATACATAGGTTCTCTATGAGTCCCTCTACCCCAGTGACTCTGACTGGAGACTAGAGCTACTCAGGAGGCCATGTGACGACTAGAGCTGTGTCTGGGGGCTGGGGCTGCCCCCCTGCTGTGATATTTTAACAGTTTCAGGCTGGGCGGAGCCAGGAAATGCAGAAGTCCATGCAAAACCAAAGTGTAACACATGCATGTCCTGGGTGGCTCCGGGTGGTTTTCTTGCACTGAGAAGACACTGGCCTCCTTTCCAGTGGTGAAGGACAGAGGATGGGTGGAAGATATGTGTGAGTCTGTGTGTCTGTGTGGGTGTGAGAGAGACACAGAGAGGGAGAGAAGGTGAGAGGGTGT